GGGCTTTGGGGCTTCAGGGCTTTAGGGCTTAAGGTTAAGGGTTTAGTGCTTTGGGGCTTTAGGGCTTAAGGTTATGGGTTTAGGGCTTTGGGGCTTCAGGACTTTGGGGTGGTTGAGGGTTTAGGGCTTCAGGGCTTTGGGGCTTTAGGGTTTAAGGTTTAAGGTTAGGATTTTAGGGCCTTCGGTTTAGGGTTCACATTACATCTCGGGCCCGCTCTACTGAAGATTGTGCAACCGTTCCTTAAGCCATGTCCTACTCAATCATCCGTCCGAAACACATCACAAGCGACATACTTTGGGTGGATTCAGAACTTGGCCTTCGCTCCGCAACTTTCATTCACCAGCAGCCGGGGGCGGGGCTGTGTGAACAGAGAGTACAGCTTGATGAAAAGTTCCACGGCATTCTCACCGGTGAAAGACCTGCACGTCTTGTTGCTGGGAGCCACAGGGCACAGGAAGCTAAGCGTCCCCAGAACACTGTCCTTGCTCAAGTGTTGTGCCAAGGGGCATCTCAGGACTGTTGACAATCTCCGTAATGTGCTCCACCTGCAGTCCGCCCGCAGGTGGCGTAGCCACATGCACCGAAAATCTATCGCTGCTGCCGAGCCACAGCCATGACGTAGGGCATGTTCCGCATGGTCGGAACCTGCACTAACCGAATTTCACTTCGTGACGAATGTTCCTTGTCCTGGGTTTGGGGTAATATAGGGGCCTCAGTAATTACCTATACTATTTTGAGGGCTCCTTATTATAATTAGTATAATATACCCCAGAACCCCATTCTAATTATTAAGGCCCCTGTATTAACCAACCTTGGCGGATCGACCTTGGGAGATCGGCATACTTGTGGGATTTCTTGCCAGGCGGAGCCGAGAAGGGGGAGGGGTAGCAGGACCTTGTGAGATCCTCACCACAACTTCCTGGAATCCACATTGCAGGTTTAGGGTGTAGGGTTTAGGGTTTAGGGTTGAGGGTTGAGGGCTTCCCGGAATCCACATTGCATGAGGCCTCCGGTCCGGTGTCGTAGATGGAATCCCTCCTCGGGTGCGCACGTGTCGAAGGGAAGGACGTGAGTTGCACATGTCGTAATCAGGCCAAGGGATCCCTCATCCGCTACCTGTTGGGGGCATGTATGTGGTAGATTTACCTACATTACCATATTCATGTGGTATGTGGTTGCTTTTCCATAGGGTATGCAAAGCACCACTACTCCTAGCCCTCCTATCATGGCCTGGGCTCGGAGCACTCGGGGCTCAGGGGCGTGGACGAGTTTGAGAACAGCTCAAGGCTTCGGAATCCAGCCGTACAGTCTCGCGCAAGGGCATGAAGAACTAGACTAGCATTTCTGTGGGAACCTCCAGGCTTTTATGGTATAGAAAAAACCAGGAAACTGGCACTGCTAGCTATTCAGGCTCATATGGGTAGTTCGCAAAATTTTTCGGTCCCAAAACTGGTACGGCACCCTTATGAAAAGGATACTGAAAGGGACCCCCATTTAGAGAACTACTCTATATATTTAGGGATTCAGGATCCCAGAAATCGGAGTCTCCAACGTGCGCCAAGCATCTGCGCAGCCTCGCCCAGAATGCGCTGCATGAGGTCGAAGGGCGAGGACAGCAGGGCGTTGATGTCCTGGGCTTACACTGTAGTAGCTGTAGTTGTAGCTGTAGCTGTAGCTGTAGTAGCAGCAGCAGCAGCAGCAGCAGCAGGAGTATAGTAGTAGTAGTAGTAGTAGTAGTAGTAGCAGCAGCAGTAGTAGTACAGTAGTAGTCGTCGTCGTAGTAGTAAAACAGAGTATCTACGAATTTCGTAGTACAGTAGCGCTTAAGGCTCAAAGTTCCCAAACCCTAAACCCTAAACCCTAAACCCTAAACCCTGAACCCTGAACCCTGAACCCTGAACCCTGAACCCTGAACCGAAACCGTGCACCCACTACGAGAGAGACCACCGCTACAGCGAGGCTCTGCCTCGAACCCGACTTCCAGCCCTGAGCAGATCCTGAAGTAGGGTTTAGGGTTTAGG